AAGGAAGGGAATTCTGAAATGTGCTACAATGTGGGTGAACTGCGGAGACATTATGCCCCGTGAAGTAAACCAGTCATAAAAGGACAAATACCGTGTGATTCCACTCATGTGAGGTTCCCAGAATTGTCAAATTCACAAAGTAGAATGGTGATGTCCAGGGGCTGGGGAGAGGGGGAAGGGGGAGATAGTGTTTAATGGGGACGGAATTTCAGCTTTGCAAGATAAAAACATTTAGAGATGGATGGTAGGGATGGCTGCTGAATGTACTTAAGGCCACCAAACTGTACACTTAAATATAATTAAAACGGTAACTTTTATGTTTTACAGAATCTTAGAGTAAGTATTTTACAAACATAATCAGGAGAAAAGTCCATCGGTAGAATAAGATCCGTAAGTGACAGATGTGATGGAATTAATAGAGCAACAGAAACATCTGTCGTCAATACGCCCTATGTGCTCAAGAGTGCAGAGGACCAGGACAGAAACCAGGAGATATTTTCTTAAAGGAAAGTCGAGGTGGCATTAACAGCAGAATAGATATTACAGAGAAAAGGTCAGAACAGAGAAAAAAATGAAAAGGGGAAAAGAAGATCAGGGACTCATGAGACAGTATCACCTGCTCCAGCGTACGTGTTGCTGACATCTCAGAATGAGAGGGAACAGAACAAAATTTGAAGACCAATAGCCTGAAATGTTTCAAGTTTGATGGAAACCAACAGATCCCAGAAGCTCAATGAACCCTGAGCACAGGAACCATAAAGAAAACCACAGCAAGGCACACGCCATCAACAATTACTTTAAACATAAATGGCCTAAATCCTACAAACCAGAAGTGGATGGTCTCGGGATGGGTGAGAAAGCAAAACTCAGACATGCTGTCATGTGAAAGCCACTTAACATAAAAAGACAGAGAGTTAAACGTGAACGAACAAGAAAAGATCTTCCTGCGGCCGCTGGAGAAAACACCCCTGGGGTAGATCAGGTGGCCTTCAAAGGACAACGCTAGGGTGGCAGAGAAAAGTATCACAGCGCTGCATTCAGAACGAAGACACAGCACCCCTCGTGCGTGCCCCCCACCAGCAGGCCCAGCAGGCCTGCGAGACAAGGGAAGCAGAAACGGACAGAGCGCGCGGGAGCAGACGGGCGCAGTTTCAGTTCCCCACATCAGCCTTCCTCTCTCGGTGCTTGATACCCAAGTAGACACAAAATCAGCAGAGAGAGAGAGATGTGGCAACTCCACCAACCACATCCATCTAATGAACATTTTAAAAAGACTCCAGGCAGCAGCAACAGAATTCTTTACTACTGCTCCTTTCTCTGAGGGTCCCACACAGACAGGTCCTCCGGCGAGGAACCGAGGAACCCGAGTTCTTGTCCTGATGCTCCATACGCCCTTCAGGGAGGGCCCGTTTATGTGAGTGACAGGCCGCCGTAGCCCGGGCTGCACAGGACTTCGGGGGCCTGACTTGGTCACTCTGCGCCTCCGGTAGAAAAGGACCTGGGAAAGCGCCCCGGCTCAGACGGGCAGTGCGCCGCTCTGGGCCCCGGGAAGGCAGACATGGCTTCAGTCCAGCGTGGAGAACTGGCAAGCGCCCCCGAGGTCTCACGGGCACTCGGCGACAGTGCAGCTCCGAGAGCCCAGCCCTGGACCGCTGTGACTGACCCGCTACAATCATGCAACTATTGATTTGGGCTGATGCGGAAAATGGCCTGTAGGTGGGTTTGTCCTCGAGACTTAAAACAACCAGAGCCACGGACCCTGGATATGAACCACCCGGTGGCTTTGACACTAGACCCCGGCCACGGGGGTCTCTGCGTTTTGTGTCTGGGAAACGTCATTTAGGACCACAGAACAAGTACTGAGACGCCTAAGTTCCCACGTGAGCGGGAGGCTGCTTGTGCGGTTGGAGGGAACTCAGAACAAACATGCTGGTTCTTACAAGAAAAACTCAAAATGTTAGGTTATGGGGCTCTGGAGATAGGCTGTCCGTCAGGCTAAGGTTGGGTAAACTTGGTGAGCAACAGCAAAATTATACTCAAATAGTTCATCGGGAAGAACTTTGTGACCTTCCCCCTGAAACCGGTCATCAGACCTCCTGTGAGGTGACCCCTCCGATACCCGGGGGAAAGGAGCACCCTTATCTCCACGGAGGGAGGGGCAAGGGGAGGGAGCCGCCCGGACACATGGACGGAGGGGCAAGGGGAGGGAGCCGCCCGGACACATGGACGGAGGGGCAAGGGGAGGGAGCCGCCCGGACACATGGACGGAGGGGCAAGGGGAGGGAGCCGCCCGGACACATGGACGGAGGGGCAAGGGGAGGGAGCCGCCCGGACACATGGACGGAGGGGCAAGGGGAGGGAGCCGCCCGGACACATGGACGGAGGGGCAAGGGGAGGGAGCCGCCCGGACACATGGACGGAGGGACAAGGGGAGGGAGCCGCCCGGACAGGCCTTGCTGGGTCCCTGGTCGTGACACGTAGGCATATGTTTCTCGTTCTATCCCACTTCTCCACGACTTTCCATCTTCATCCAACCCGGCATAAAGACACTCAGGTGTAACCACTTCTTCGGGGCTTCCTTTCCTTACGAAGGCTCCCGTGTGGCAGACGACTTAACATTAAATAAATCTCTGTGCTTTTGTCCCGGCTTTTGTTACACGGGCCCAGCTGAGATTTAGAAGAGTCTGCTGAACAGAATTCAACTGAGTGCATTTTAAAGATCGTACTGGCTTTCTTCAATGATTCATGGATGGGGCAGCGTCCCATCCGGCAGAGAGAGGAGCTCAGAGGTGCTTTACGAAGTGAAGGACTTTTCTAGGCAGCATGAGGGTGCTGAGGCCCTCAGGCTGGAGGGCAGACTTGCCAAACGTGCTGGCACTGAAAGCAGAGGTTCTGGCGGCCACTTGTCACCCGCAGGGAGGCTGCCTTCGGTGGTCCTGGAGGTGCCCGGGTCCTTCCTTGGAGGAGCAGAAGGTCCCACGGGCAGGGTTGCCACAGAGTATGTTCCTGACCTGGGTTCTTGGACTCTTTAATCGGTAGAAGTTGATGAGAGGCCAGAGCAATCCTGGCGAGGCTTTATGGGGCCTCGTGCGGCAGGAGGGGTGGGGAAACAAGAAACAGGTGTCCTCGCTCCGTCTCCGAGGAGGGTGGGCCGGTCCTTGAAGGGGTCTGCACCCTGCGCCATTGGTGAGCCATTCTGACCTGTACTGCAGGCCCCCATCTCTTCGTGTCTTATTGCTCATAGCCGCCCCGCCACTGAGCACGCGTGCAGTTGATTTGGGTCCTTTGTGGTCCGTGTCGCTGGAGGAGGCGTTTGTACAGGCGCAGGCTCTGCGGTGGCGGGGCCCCGTCCCAGCCTGTCCATGACCACAAAGCAGCAACAAAGCGGGCAGGGTGAAAATAAGATTAAATGCTCCTCGTTACCCCTTTTCTTAGAGCTTTTCCTAGAGAAAACTTGGATGTGTAGCTTCCTCCTCTGTCCTTTTGATACGTAGGAAAGCGTTTTTAAAAGCTAAATAAGCTTCTTTCCAGAATCAAAACGCAGGGTTTTGTTTGTTTGGGTTTTGTTTGTGTTTTCCTGAAAGGCCTCCTCGTTTCAAGGTCAACATCAAGGAACTGCTGAAACAAAACCCACGGATCGGGCGGCTTATCGGCAACATGTCCTTCTCCCGGTTCAGGAGGTTGGCGGTCCGAGTTCACGGTGCCAGCGACCCCTGGGGGGCTGGTGAGGGCCCATTGCCTGCCTCACCCGTGGACCGGGCTGGGGAGCTCTGCGGGGCCTCCAGCCAAGGCACCAGCCCCGACACGTGAGGGCTCCACCCTCAGGACCTCCCCAGAGCCCCACCCCCAACATGGTCGCCCTGGGCGTCAGGATCCCGGCACCTGCTGCCTCCAGCACGAGGAGACCTCAGCAGTGCGGAGGCTTCTGGGCCTTAGGGAGGTGATGGAGAAGGTGCCATGAAAGCTGGAAGGCTCAAGACAACACAACTTAAAATGACTCATCAGGCCACCGGGCCGTCTTCCCTTCTGTCCAAAGAGCAGGGGAGGGGCCACTGCGGCTTCTTCCAGCCCCAGCGGCAGGGGTTCCAGCCAGACAGCACCCTCCCTCCGTGGTCCCTCTGAAGCTCCCCCAAATCCTGAGCCTGCCAGCCCCCGAGTCTGGAAGGCTCTGTCCCTCATGTGTCCACCAGATGACAGAGGAACGACCCAGAGAGGTGCTTCCAGAAAGCCTTCCTCAACAAACACACTGCGTCAGGCCCTGTCTCCACCGCTGGCCCCAGCCCCAGCAGTGGGGGAGCCACCCTGAGCCATCCGCCCCCCCCCACTCCAGTGAGCTGACCACAGCTTCTACTGTCAACCTGTGTGTCCCAGACCACGTCCTTCTGCCTGTCTCCAACACTGCTTCACAGAGCTGGACCTGCCGGGGAGCGTCTCCATTCCAGCACAGCCAACCCTGTGGGGGACACCGGCTGGGGGCCAGGAGTTCGGGGCTCCCCTGCTCCTGCCAGCAGCCAGCTGGGGAGCACTCGCTGAGACTCCCCTGTCTGGGCTGCACCTGTGAAGTGCAGGGCTTGGATGCAGCAGCAGCTGCTGTGACTCTGCGATGGGGGCCTGGGGCGGGGCTGGCTGGCCCGAGCGTGGGGGGCGCCTGGGGCTCCTCACCTTCTGCTCCCGGCCCCAGCGGCTGCCCCCCATCCACCCCCATTCTCTCCTTCTTTCAGGACGGATGCCGGGGGCGCCTTTCGCAGGGCCGCTGCGGCAGAAGAATGTGGAAGAGTGGGACCCCACATCCCGGTGGACAAGCCTGTGAAGGCGGCTGTGGCCCTGGGCTCGGCCGGAGCCTCCTGTGCTCAGCTCCGCGGTCTCTGGGGTTTGGATTCCCTCTTCCCACCTGCAGGCCCCCGTAACAGAGTGCCTCGGTTCACCCCGCACCGCCACCCCGAAGCCCTCAGGAAGCGGAGTGCGGGAACTGTTCAAACAATTTACTTGGGAAGCTGACATCGAAGCACACACGTTTTATTTTTTGTATAATGTGCCGTTAATCCTTTACATAGCAGCCCAGAAGCCTTCCTGGTGGGGCTTTCTGCCCTCCTCAGGCTCCCTGTGGGGGCTGCGCCCAGGTCTCCTGTGAACACGGAGGGGAGGGGTCTTCCCCCAGGTTCGGGGGGGGGGGGGCGTGTGCCAACCACGGTGTCCCCTCTGCTGCCCCCTGCAGGACTCTCCCAGAACAGTCGCTGTAGCTCAGAATTGCAACTACAGGTGGTTTTCTTTGGCATCTGACCCGTTGCTGGGACGGCCTTCCACCAAGAAGGAACATGGGCGCTGACCAGACTGGACAGAGGGCAGGGCCACAGTGGACAGCTGCAGGGCCCCCTTGCACAGTGCCCGTGCGGGCGCCCCCTGCATCCTGCTGAGGGAGCTTTGGGCAGTTGCCGCAGCTAGCCGCCTCGCTCTGGGGGTCCGGCCCCTGTCCACCACACCCGGGCTCTTTGGTTTTGCCCCCCTGCTGGCCCCTCCTCCACACTTCCCAGGGGGGAACACCCAGGCCACCCGTCCTGGGGCTGCTCCCATCTGTGCGAGGGGACACTTCCAGAATGGTGCCAGCTCAGCCCCCCACAGTGCCCAGGAATAAACAGGCCCGGGAGGGTGGGCCACACTCCTGGTGGGAGACTCGGGGCCGAGTGGCAGGTGAGCAATCGTCTGCAACAGAAACGGTCCTCAGACTCTGTTCAGGCACAAACACTGCCTCCCGGCCCCGAGGCCTCCCCAGTTTCTTGGGGACATCTTGATTCTCAGTCACCACCCAACGGGGCGTTCAACCAGGGCAGTGTGGTATACAGGGGTCCCTCGCCCTCCCCCACTCCCTTTCCTCCCCTGGCATCTCTGCCTCCTTTAGCGTCTCCTGGGGGTCACTCCTCCTGCAGCAGGGGCTCCCGGTCCCCTCCCTGCACCCTCTCGTCCTCCTCCTTCTCCATGCAGCCCACAGTGGCTGCCAACCCAGCGCCCACGCCTCCCCCAACCACCGCGGCCCCCGTGGCCCCCACCGCAGC